CAGCCTTTTAGATTTTATTAAATATAATAAACAAGAAACAGGGATGGAGCTCACATGAGCCGAAGGCCGATGGTGTGCCCCGCGGGGTCATCAGATACATGGCTGGAAGGGGCACAGAGATCATCTAGGTCAACTTTCTACCTAGACTCAAGTGGAAAGGCAAGGAATTGTCAAAAGCACTCAAAATTCTTAAAAAAAAAAAAAAAGTTTAGGCTAGGGGGAGAGAAAACCGATGTGAATCTCAAAGTTTCTAGAAGTTTTGGGGGGAACATTAAATCCTGGCCCATGAAATGCAACATGGAGGGGAACCAGGGAGGATGGTGTGCAGAGCAGGCTGTTCCCATGGGTGGCATGGTCGCCTCCGGCTTCCCTGGTTGCAGCAGCTCTCTGGTAGCCACAAAGGCCCCTTGATGGGGGAGTCAGCTGTCGGGGAGGGGGGCTGCTCTCCTGCCCGCCTGCTGGCTATTGCTCCTGGAGACTCGGCCCTAGAGGCGCACTCTCCTGATTTCCCCTAATGCCCGATATTAAATCTCTCTCCTCGTAGATCCGCTGCCGTGGATTCTGTTGTCTGCCACTGAACCCTGGCTGATGTAGCAACGAGCACAAAGTATGGGGTGGCAATGACTCACTTGTCTGATTCAGGCCAGGCTTCCAGACGTTTTCAGTGACACAGATATGGCCTGCCTGTCTCTTCCCGTCCCGTGATCCAAAGTCCTGCTCAGCCATGGTATTCTGATGACCGTTCTGGCCTTGTTTGCTCTCGTAGGCGCCGTGCCCTCCTGGGGCTCTGCCTCCCCGGACCCGTCGGAATCAGGGAGCCCACTTCCGAAGCAGTATCTTCACCTCCATCCCGGGGCCTCTTTCTATGATGCTTTTCAGAGAGGCTTGGATTTTCCTCATGCGCATTTTTCAGCACCATGTGTGCAAAGCCCTGTCCCCTGGGCCCTCTTGGGAGACGCAGTCAGGGTGTACGTGAGGGGGTCGAACACGATATACCCACTTCCACAACCTCATCTGCATAAATCCTGAATCCTTGCACTACACTACACCAAGGCATTGCTGTTACCCCAACTTCACGGATCCCGGGCCGCCGTGGACTAACAGTCAAAGTCTGCCCCACCAAGAGAGCAGCTAATGAGGACCACCGTGCGCGGGGCGGGAGCCCAGACCCTGGCAAGTGCGCCAGATCCCAATACCCGAGCCGCAGACTGAATTGTCCTCCTTCTCCCTGGTTTCCTAGCCTTGGCAAAATATCCAGGTTTGGGCTGTCGTACATTGGTAAAGTCTTTTAATTCTTGGGACAGGCAATCCCTCCCCTTCAGGGTTTCGAGTGTAATTGGTCCCCTGTGACACGTTGAGCTCGTCCTTTCACATGCAGACTGGTGGCTTCTCCCATTCTCTTCAGAGAGAAGCCCAGCCCTGGATAGGCCACCGGACATCGGAGGCAAAGTATGTCACATTGGGCTGCCCTGCTCTGACTGCATAACCGGATAAGCCATAAAGCTGCATCTCTGAGTGGGCCCTGGGCAAGCAAGACGCCTCTCGCCTGTTCCGGCTACAGCACGATCAGGGTGTCCCTGGATTTTATGAGCCAGGGTACCCGAAGGGGGCAGACGTGCTGTGGCTGATGGGGATGCTGGCTGAGGTCTGCAGCCAGCCTTGACGGGGAAGAGCTGTCGATGACCTGAGGATTTTGAAGCAAACCTACGGCCTTGGCGAGTAACTACTGTTACTGTTACAGGCGGGTTCCTGTGACCGGTTGACAAAGGAGGAAAAGACGTCTCTCGTGGTTTAAATATGCCGGCATCCAGGGAGTCCTGGAAGGAGGCTGAAGAAGAACTCTGCCAGTGGGAGGGCTTCCGGCCGCACACCCTCAGCCCGCTTTGCCTGCAAGAAGACTTACCCAGAGGCCGGTCGGCTCTAGCCTGTGAGCGGGGGCCGTGTGGCCGCAGGTCAGGAAAGAACACAACTGGATGGTCAGGGACAAGCCGTATGGGCGGGCCTGGGGGAATGGGCCCAGAGCACGAGACCATCCGTGTCCTGTGTGAGCGCTCACCAGGCCTTGCTGCGGGCGGGGGTCTCTGACCTGCCGGGGCTGTCGGTCTCTTCGCCGCACCCCCTGTGCAGGCTTGAGGATGCACCGCGTATGAAGTGACATTGATGGGGGATGCAGACATTATACAAACACCTGCTCGCCGAGGCCAGACTGGCCGCTGGCAGACGCAGGGGCCAAACCTGAGCTTCTGATGGAGTGGAAGACCCCCGTGAGGCCAGCTTGCTACATGGTGGTAGACTGTTTACATCGGATCTCTTCCATCACAGGGAGGACAGGATTTTTTTCAATGAAATAGATCATTTATTCTCTAAAAAGTATTTATTAAGCACCTACTGTGTGCCAGGCACCATTGTAGGTGATTGGGATCTATCAGTGAGCAAAAAAGACAGAAAGTGTTGTCCCTATGAAACTTTCTTTCTGTTACAAGAAGTGTAACAAATAAGTAAATTTTGTAGTATGTTTTGAAGTGATGTGCTATGGGGAAAAAAGTAAAGTGGTGTAGGTAGGGACACTTGCAGTCCTGGAGATGGGGGATAACGGTTTCCGAGGTACATGTGATTCAGGGTGGGCCCCAAGGCCTTGATGGACATCTGGGAGGAAGAGCTCTCTGTGCAGGCTTTAGGGCGGCGTTTGCCTGGTGCATGCAGTGTCTGGAGCTCAGTAATGAGGGGGCAGGAGATGAGGCCCCGGAGGCCCAGGAGGGAGGTTGGTGGAGTGTTGTGGGCATGTAAGGGGAGATGGGGAGAACTCACTGCAAGGGTCTGAGCACGTGACCACGGTGCTAAGAATGGGGGGTATGGAGGAAAGACACCAGCAAGGGGACAGCGAACCCACCGCTTGATGGATGAGGGGGCCTCACCAGGGTGGGGGTGCTGCTGGTCACAGAATGCGACAGTGTCTGGGTATGGATATTTTAGTATTTTATTGTGGAAAATTAAAAACATACAAAAGCAGAAACTAGTGCAAAACCCCTTTCCTCCCACAATGGGCCTGCCACCCAGCTTCAGAAATGCTGCACACACAGCCAGCCCCATTTCATCGCACCCACCCTGCTCTTACCGGGTTATTTCAAACAAGGTTGTATCATTTAATGCACAAATACCTCAGTAGGAGTTCTTAAAGATGAATACTGTATTTTTAAAATAAAACATAACCATAACACTATCACTTATATCCAAAACATACCATAATTTCTTAACATTAGTGTACAAATTTCCTTTAGAATTTCCTAAGTGGTATTTTTCTTAACTTGGTTTGAGTCAGGATCCGAACAAGGTTGGCTGTCCCTTTGGTTGATGTGTGTTAGGTCTCACTGAGTTTGTAGGTCTTCCCTCTGCCTTCCTTCCCTCCCTCCCTCCCCCCTCCCTCCCTCCCTCTACCCTTCTTTCCTTCCTTCCTTCCTTCCTTCCTTCCTTCCTTCCTTCCTTCCTTCCTCCCTCCCTCCCTCCCTCCCTCTCTTCCTTCTTCCCTCCCTCCCTCCCTCCCTCCCTTCCTTCCTTCCTTCCTTCCTTCCTTCTTCCCTCCCTCCCTCCCTCCCTTCCTTCCTTCCTTCCTTCCGTCATTGGTTTGGTGAAGAAACCCAGTCATTTGTCCTGTAGATTTTCCCACTGTGTGGATTTTGTTGATTGTAGCCCTGTGGTACCATCTCATGGTGTTATGTTGTAGCTCCGTGTATTTCCTGTAAGCTGCTGGTTGCATCTAGAAGCTTGATTGGATTCAGTTTTGATATTTTGGGCATGAATACGTTGTAGGTAACATTGAATACTTCCATCAGGAAGCACATAATATTAGGCTATTTGGTTTTTGATAGAACCTAATCAGTAGGTGTCCCATGAAATATCTGGTCAAAATAGTGGTTTGCTGTTTCTTTCATTCTTTCTTCATTTATTGGAAGAATTATTTATTCCCACATCAACTATTTGGTGGTGGGGAAATAGCATTTGGAGAATGCAACCTGTGGAAATGTGCTCACTGCTGTCGGATTGCTAATTATTTCTAGGCCTTTTCAGTGGACAGACCTAGGAAATAAATATCTTTAAAAAAAAAAACAGGGTTTGACATCAGCTTATGCTGATAACTTCCAACTCAAATTTAGATTTGTATGGCTATTAGTTAACTTTTTAATTCAATTTTTAAAATTTCTTTTCTCTAATGTTAAAAATCTTTGTCTGAAATAACATTAACATAGTTGCCTTTTGCTTTTGGAAGCTCAGCCTCGAGCCTGCTTCTCTAGCTCTTCAGATGATTTTGTAAAGTACCTAATATCTTGTTTAAATTCTTTTCTCTGTAAACCACTGGAGTGGATTATTTTGTCTGCAACTGAATCCTGACGGTATAAACAGTATAAGCAGGAGGGGTGGCTCTGGGCATTGTCTGGGAAGGACCTAGGCACCACTCATAGCTAAGCCAACTGATGCAGATGATCCCCAGTGGGACAGTTGTTGGAGACTCATTGAGCAGAGACCTGAGTCACTCAGTTGTGTCTACGTGCAAATTCCAATTCACCAAAATTTGTGCTTCTGCCTTTCAACAGGAGTACTTCTTCCCCATTTTTCCTATCCCCTAAATCAGACCCTGAGGAACACATCAGGTTAGGCTCAGAGCAGGTGCGCAGGGTCTTGTCTCCCCTGTGGACTCTGGTCACTTGAGCAAGTCTCTCAGTGGCCGCCCCATCACCATTTCAGAGCAGGTGAATTAGGAGTCCCGGATGTGAATGAACACTGGCAAGAAGAACTGGTACGTTGGAACCAGTTCGTCACTCCAAGGACCCCGAGGACAGCACTGAGCTGGGGGTTTTGGATCAGGGACAAGTCATGCGAATTGGACATTCTCATAACTTTCCACGGCGTCTTCATCCTGAGACCTGACCTCTCCAGCTGAGTCCTCTGGGAGCTGTGTCTTCACCGCAGAGTAGACAACTGAGCTGTGCTGGGGTGGAAAGGAGTTAGAAGAAGAACTGGAAAGAGAGAGGGAGGATGGGGCTGGCGGTAGCGGTGGGAGAGAAAACAGTCAGGGACTGATACTCACCTTGTCCTCTAGAGATGTTCTGGATGTGCTGGCTGTGGAGGGAAAGGGCCTCACTGAACTATGGGTATCACGACCTGTTTAGAACAGGCTGCAAGCTTTTCCCCAGAGGTTGGGAGCCATTGAACCTTTTCCACCCGTGGTTATGTTTCCCACACCCCAACCCCCTATGGCACATGTGATTTTCTCTTTTACCGTTTCTTAGCCCAGTCCTCTGCAAGTTCTTTATAAGCTCCATTGATCTGTAAGGTCTCTCCTTACTACCACACCAAGAAACCTTGCTCCCTTCCTTTACCAGATATCGACATAGAATGTCTCTCTGTTTTAACTTTTGCCTCTCCTAACTTAGAGCTCCTCCATCTCATCTTAACCTCAGAGCACCCCCGTGATTGCTCAGCAAGTTCCCATGAGAGTGCTTCAGGTGTGTGCCCATGGGAAAACCCTCTCTCACATTAGTGTGTTCTAGTTCTTAGTTTATTTCCATGGTTTTCTAGAGATGGAGCTGCAGTGAAGGGAGGGTTAGCAGGTGGGATTCGCCAGATCCTACATGTTAGAAATTAAGGGTCTCGGGGAACAGGATGGAAGCATCAGAGCCATTATGGAGACAGAGACCAAAAAAAGGGCCTCTGGGATAAGTGGGGCTTCTCTCGTTATCACCATATTCTTACCTTTAAGTAGTGAGCTACTTAAAATACGCTAGAACATGGATGAGTTGCAGAACATTATTATGTTAAGGGACAGAAGCCAGACAAAGAGACTACATTACATAGGTTTCCATTTACGTGAAATTGTAGAAAAACAAAGCTCTGGGGACAGAAAGTGGGTCAGTGGTGGTCAGGGTAGAGCTGGAAAAGTTATCTGCAAAGGGGCAGCAAGGGACTTTCCGGGGTGTTGGAAACATTCCACGTCTTGGGGGTGGCGGTGGGTCTGGGACTGGATACGTTTGTTAACATTAATTAAATTGTGCATTTTAAATTAGCGAGTTCTACCATATGTAGGTTATACCTCAATAAATCTGATTAAAACCAAACTTTGAGTGGAGTAGAAACTCGAGGGCATCACACTAAGTACAATTATAGAACTTGAGTTGCACTTACGCGTTAGTATTTGTGTGTGTGCGTGTTCACACCGGCTGACAGTACAATCTGTCTCTCTTACTGTGGATTACAATAAAAATGTTTGAGAGTCACCAGTCCAGAGGCTTGAGAGCGCTGACTCGCAGCCGGTGGTACTATCAACACATTGCCGAGGCGGCATGTGCCCCCAGGGACAGAGGACAAGAGTGTAGCCAAGGCGGCGTCTAGTAGGGCTGACGGGTACCAGGGGACTCCAGCAGCAGGAAGCTGGATGTGAGTGATGGGGGAAGGAGGCCCCTGAAGGGTCACAAGCACCCGCGGGGATGGGAGATGGCCAACTGTGCCAAAGGAGCTGCAGGGAGGAGCATCTGACAGGGAGCCTCAGAAGAGAGCGCGCACCACCTCACGCCGGGAGGACCCACTTCTGCGCCGGCCAGCCCGACAGCCGGCGCCAGCTCCCAAGCACCAGCTGGGTGCGTCCTTCCCGCTCAGGTCCTCAGCGCCCTCCAGGCCAGTGAGGGGTGGCAGCCACGGAAACAGAGAAGCCAGCTCCATCCTATGCTCCCGCCCCGGCAAGCTCCCATCCTGAAATTTGCCTGAACGAGTGGAGGGCCAGCTGTTCTAGTCGCTGAATTGAGACTGTGACAGTGTCCACCTGCCGTCCGTTACCTAAGAGACTGGAGAATGTGTTGAAAAGCCTGTGCTGCCAAAATGTTCATCCGAAGGGCCTGGGCAGATCTCCCACAGAGTAAAGTTTCAGGAAACAGTGGGAAACACAATTTTTGTAATGAAGTCACAGGTCTTACTTGTTCAGTGTATTGGTCACACAGGGTTGTTTATATGGACTAACTGAGCATTTGTCTACGCATATATATACATTATGTGAACATATATCTATAAATGTTTTTACCACATAGTAGGTGGCTTGTAAACCTCATCACTTGACTACTTAATTCATTACTCAAAAGAAATTTTCTGGGGCACCTGGGTGGCTCAGTCGGTTGAGCGTCTGCCTTCAGCTTAGGTTATGATCCCGGGGTCCTGGGATCGAGTCTCGCATTGGCCTCCCTGCTCAGCGGGGAGTCTGCTTCTCCCTCTGCCCTTCCCCCCTCCCGCTCATGCGTGTTCTCTCTGTTAAATAAATAAATAAATCTTAAAAAAATTTCATACATACACCTTCACGATCATGATACCGATTAGAAGGATGTTCAATTTCTGTTCTGATCATCAGCAAAGATATATAATGGATTTTTTAGTGTCTTTTTTCTTTCTTTAGAATCTAAGCACCACTGCAGGGGTTTTTATCTGTCTTGTTTGCTGACTGACTCCTTGTACGTTCAGCAGTGCCTAGCACCTTGCTTATGTTGAATGAAGGAATATAGTTTGCACCCCGAATCTTCCCCAGGGACTTACCGGCCGCTTCTTGTCCCAGCTGAATAATCTGGATCTCAGAATACACCAAGCCTCCCTCTCCGGGGTGCCCTGCAAAGGAGAAACAGCGCTTTCTAGGCCGCCCCCCCAGAAGTATGCACCACACAGGCCTCTTCTAAAGCTCGTCCCCACGCTTCGTGGATGCAGGATGAAGTGGTGCTTTCCTGCGGGTCTGGGTTTGCGACCCCGTAAGGAGACCAGGACTCCGCCAGGCCTCAAGCACATTATCTCTCCCTGGCTCCAGTGGGAGCGGCTTCCCTGCGGGGCTTCTCACCATTGTCATATAACCGCTGCAGTTCCACTGGGGCAGGGCACCCGGCACGGGGCGACTTTCCTTGGCCTGGGGCGGGAGGGCTCCTGTGAGAGATGGAACCGCATGATCATCCCTGGAACGGCATACGGTGCACGGCAGCGGGATGGCCAGAGAGGGAGGGGCACGGGGGGGCGCCAGCGGAAAGCAGGGGACCCGGGACCCAGAGAGGGAGGGGTACGGGGGGGGTGCCAGCCGAAAGCAGGGGACCCGGGACCCAGAGAGGGAGGGGTACGGGGGGGTGCCAGCCGAAAGCAGGGGACTCGGGACCCAGAGAGGGAGGGGCATGGGGGGGCGCCAGCCGAAAGCAGGGGACCCGGGACCCAGAGAGGGAGGGGTACGGGGGGGTGCCAGCCGAAAGCAGGGGACTCGGGACCCAGAGAGGGAGGGGCATGGGGGGGCGCCAGCTGAAAGCAGGAGACCCGGGACCCAGAGAGGGAGGGGTACGGGGGGGGTGCCAGCCGAAAGCAGGGGACTCGGGACCCAGAGAGGGAGGGGCATGGGGGGGCGCCAGCCGAAAGCAGGGGACCCGGGACCCAGAGAGGGAGGGGTACGGGGGGGTGCCAGCCGAAAGCAGGGGACTCGGGACCCAGAGAGGGAGGGGTACGGGGGGGGTGCCAGCCGAAAGCAGGGGACCCGGGACCCAGAGAGGGAGGGGTACGGGGGGGGTGCCAGCCGAAAGCAGGGGACCCGGGACCCAGAGAGGGAGGGGTACGGGGGGGTGCCAGCCGAAAGCAGGGGACTCGGGACCCAGAGAGGGAGGGGCATGGGGGGGCGCCAGCCGAAAGCAGGGGACCCGGGACCCAGAGAGGGAGGGGCACGGGGGGGCGCCAGCGGAAAGCAGGGGACCCGGGACCCAGAGAGGGAGGGGTACGGGGGGGGTGCCAGCCGAAAGCAGGGGACCCGGGACCCAGAGAGGGAGGGGTACGGGGGGGTGCCAGCCGAAAGCAGGGGACTCGGGACCCAGAGAGGGAGGGGCATGGGGGGGCGCCAGCCGAAAGCAGGGGACCCGGGACCCAGAGAGGGAGGGGTACGGGGGGGTGCCAGCCGAAAGCAGGGGACTCGGGACCCAGAGAGGGAGGGGCATGGGGGGGCGCCAGCTGAAAGCAGGAGACCCGGGACCCAGAGAGGGAGGGGTACGGGGGGGGTGCCAGCCGAAAGCAGGGGACTCGGGACCCAGAGAGGGAGGGGCATGGGGGGGCGCCAGCCGAAAGCAGGGGACCCGGGACCCAGAGAGGGAGGGGTACGGGGGGGTGCCAGCCGAAAGCAGGGGACTCGGGACCCAGAGAGGGAGGGGCACGGGGGGGCGCCAGCCGAAAGCAGGGGACCTGGGACCAAGGGGGGCGCATAACAAGGTTGGGGGAGCAGGAGGGGAGGGGTCAGCAGATGGCAGGGGACCGGGACCGGGAATGGTTTAACTGGACATTCAGTAGGTCCATATAGAGCCCGATTGTTTTTGAGAGCAACTGGAGGACCACGGTGTGGCGGGCTGCAGGGAACAGGCTGACCACTCTCTGACAGCTTCGTAACAACCACCTCAGAGACAGAGCGACCACTCTCAATTGGTTAAAATCCTCGCCTCATCCCCAGGAGGTGGTGACTCCATGTCTTCACACTGTCCCGCCTGGACAAGTCAGGAAGGAACTAGACACCGTCTGTGCCCCAAGTCACTGGCTACCACTGGCTACCACCCAAGCCTGAGACACGCAGGACCATGTTTTCCAAACCAAAGTTAAAGATACAAAGTCTGAGGAGCACATGTGCACGTGTGGGGCAAAAGAAAATGATTCGAAACCGAGACTTCCTGGAAAATCTGGCACAGTCACTGGGCACGTATTTACAGCCACGCATCGTCTGACTGGGGTGTTAGCTGCGCCACAAATATTGTGTGCCCACCTAGAAGACCTGTCATCTTTGGTATCACCCATTTGGATGAGTGGATAAATTTCAAATAACAAATGGATCCAAATACCTGCAAAATCCATGATAGGAACTATTAGAAGGTTCTGTAAGTTGTGATTTGGGTCATTTCAAGGGATGTGAAGATGCGGGCACCTAGCCACAGGGACAGGGAGACAGGACTTGACCTAATTGTGTGAACCCACAGTTCTGCCTATTCTATTCTTGGAAGACCCGAAGGCTGAGGCCTCACCTGGCTGTGTTTCCCAGAAAACCATCTCCTGCAAAACAAAGCAAAGGCACATTCGTGTCAGCAGAGGGAGCTCGTTCTCAAACAGTTCCCACACACAAACTGCCTTAGGTCATCAGAAAGAGTCAATTCAAGCATGCACCCTGTCCTCAATTTTTAGGAAAACGATCTGGAAAAGAATGGAACAAAGTGCATAACTTGCTGGGGACAGGGCTGCACATTCCTGGGTCAAACATGCAATTACTTGAGACTTGATTAAGGTTGAAGGCTGTGAAGATACACCTCAAGAAACACTAAATAGGACCAAATAGTCTGGCAGGCAGAGCAGTGAGGGGCTGCAGGCGGACTTTGAGGAGCATCCGTGGTCATGCCCGGAGGAGCCTCGGGCTCCCACTCCAGCTCCAGCTCGTCAAGAAGGCTCGTCATCCAAAGCAGCCCATGCAGGGGACAGGGACGGTGCTGAGAACAATGTGATGGGTTGAACGGAACTGATTTAAACCAAGAGACAGAGTTGGAGGGTGTGGGTAATTGTCCTAGAGCCGGAACAGCTTCTGTGCCCATCTCCCACACGAGGCTCTCTAGCACCTGAAACTAGTCTGAGCTGGGCCAAGGCAAGAAGCCTCTGGAAGTGCGACTCTCCCCCAGGTAAGGGAGGAGCTGGTGGGCTGGCCTGGGGGGACTCCAGCCCTTGGAGCGCAGGATGGCGGGTTCGGGCTTTGGCTCGGGGAAGTCTCCGAGGAGGAGGAAGGATGTGGATTAACCAGCTCCCATTCTCAGAGCCCTGTGACATATTGTGACTGCCCGTTTATGGGGGATTTAGAATGGGCTGAAGTGTGTAGTTGACGAGTCTGTATGAGCCAAAAAACTGCCCAGAGAAACAGTTTGGGTTAAGTTTTTGAAACTTTACATAAAAAAATTGCACTTCCTTCCTTAGTGAACCCAACTAGCACAAGCAACCCTCACCAACAGCGTCTGTTCAGCTCCCCTCCGTGAAGGGTGTAGGTCTGTGGGTGTTGGGGTGGTGAGAGGGAGAATGGTGGGCATGCTGGTGACCGAGGTGCTTGGCAGGGACAGGGCATGGCCTCTAGCAGAGGGTAAGAGAGAGCACAAACCTGACTTCCACTGGTGCTGGTGGCAAATCCACAGGGCCACCGCCAGGAGAAGAATGCTGAGCAGCCCCCCAGTGGCTCCCACAGCAACAAGGCCGCTTCTGTTCCCCGGAGTGCCTGAGGGGGAAGAGCCTGCGTGAGCCCCGGGGAGAGGGCCATGATGCCCCGGCACCTTTCCTCAACGCGGCTGGGGTCCTGAGCCCTGGGGCGGGGAGGGATCTAACGGACAAGGGCGAGGCCAGGGCTGGTGCACACAGGAGGCAGATTTCCGCTCCGGGACGGGACTCTGTGCTCTGGTAGGAGGTGCAGGCTGAGGGTCTGGGGGGGCCGTGGCAGAAGCGGAGAATGCAGCCAGCTCTCTCCACCGACCCACCGACATCGGTTCAAAAATCAGCATTTGCGGGGCATCTCTCTCTTTCTCTGTATGTCCCATCTTCTAGTAATCTGGCCTCGGGAATTTCCGCAGGCCACCTGGGAAGATGTGGCCTGACGCTGCTGTGTCAGCCCTTCAGTAGGACAGGCACTCCCCACTGGGCACTCGTGGACCAGCAGCACCATTACAAAACCACAGTGGGACACCACAGGGAAACAGCACCGTCTCCATCCTTAGAGAAGCTCCAAAGGGGAGGAGAGAAGCTGGTGGGAGCAACACACTCAGCTGGTGGGGTTTCTGATTTTCCACTGGGTCCGTTCTCCTATCTTCTCATTCAAGAGACTTCATTTGGCAGATTCGTTCACTCATTGAGCCGACATTTCCTGAGTCCTGCCATGCCAGGCCTTGAGGACAGAGCAGTGAACGGGACAGTGAGGTCCCTGCCCTCCAGGAGTTTATAGCCCAGGGAGGGGAGGCAGACAATAAACACACAGGTACATTTGTGAAAAAGCAAACGTGGAATAAGAAGGGCAAGGAGTGGGGGGTGGGTAGAGGTGCTTTGCGTGCAGATCCTTGGTCCCCAGGTAAACCAAATTCAGACTTTGGATGCCAGTGCCACTGAATTACACAGAGAACATTCACATATCAGAACGACAGCACCACGGATGATAATTCCCGGTTATGGCATGGTGTTCTGCATCTATGATTCCTGCCACAAAGCAGGCAGTCGGTACACATGGCCACTGGCCGTTGGTGACATTTGTCTCCACGCTTTCCCTCCCTGACAAAGTCAACAAACCCGACCTATGAGTGGTTCCACCGGCAGATAGTAGTTCATGGGGGTCATGAGCCCAGCCTCCCCACCATGACAGCTAAACCAGAGGAGTGGAGTGCCGGGGAGAGATCCACGGGCAGAGCAGCTTGGCTGCTGTGTCCTAGAGTGAATCTTCCCGATTGCCTGCTGGGGCAAGCACCTGTGCAAAAAGAGAGTCAGCCTTCTGCTGGGTACCTGGGGTTCCAGACCTAATGAGCGGAGAGCAAATCTTTCCCCTTCCTGGTAACTCTATCTCCTAGAAGAAATGTCTACTCTGGGAAGAGTTGAAATTTCTCTTAGTTCAAAAGGCACAGAACAATTATGCACCAACAAATAAGAGAGTCTAGAAGAAATAGGTACATTCCTAAAGGCATACAACCAGCCAGGACCGAATCATGAAGATTAGACAGACCAGTGATGAATAGGAGATTGACTCAGTAATAAACCCTCCCACCAAAGAAAGCCCAGGCCAGATGGTGTCACTGGTGGGTTCTACCAAACACTTAAAGAAGAGTTAACTCCAAACCTCTCAAAGTCTTCCACAAAACTGAAGAGGAGTGAACATTTCCAAACTCATTTTATGAGGCCGGCATCACCCTGACACCAAAGTCAGATAAGGACATGACGAGAAAAGTACAGACCAGTGTGGCTGATGAATATAGAAGCAAAGATTTCCAAAGAAGATATATGAGTAGCCAATGGGCACATGACCAGGGGCTCAACATCACTGATCATCAGGGAAATGCAAATCAAAACCACAGTGAGATATCAGCTCACACCTGTTAGAATGGCCATTATCAAAATGACAAGAAGTAGCAAGTGTTAGTGAGGACTTGGAGAAAAGGAGCCCCCCGTGCACTGTTGGTGGGAACGTAGGCTGGTGCAGCCACTGTGGAAAACAGGATGGAGGCTCCTCACACATTTAGAAATAGAACTTCTATATGATCCAGCAATCTCACTTCTGGAGATGTATTTGAAGAAAATGAAATCACTATCTGGAAGAGACATCTGCCTCCCCATGTTTACTGCAGTAGCCAAGACACAGAAACAACCTAAGTGTCCACTAACGGACAAACGGATCAAGAAAATATGGTACACATCACCCTGTATATATCCAATGGGATACTACCCGGCTGTGAAAACGATAGCCTGCCATTTTCAACGACATGAACGAAACTTGAGAACATCATGCTCAGTGAAATCAGTCAGACGGAAAGACAAATACTGTAAGAGTTCACTTAGATGTGGAACCTAAAAACACTGAAGTCATAGAAACAGAACGACGGGTGATTGCCAGGGGCTTTGCGGGGTGAGGGAAGGGCAGGGCGTTTGTCACAGGTCATCAACTTCCAGTTATAAGAGGAGTGAGTTCTGGGGACATGATGCACAATGTGGTGACTATGTTAACAACACCGTATCACCACCTATGTCCCCGCCACACGCACCCACGCACGATAATTATCTGTGGTGACAGAGGGGTTAAATAACCCTATTGCTGTAATCATTTCTCACAAGATACATTGAGCAAATCGCTAAGTTGTATACCCTGAATTTATACAATGTTATATGTCAACTATATCTCAAGGAAGGTGGGGGATAAAAGAGAACAGTGTAGACTCTATAACTAGTTTGGCGGGTTAAAATCCCCAGCTCCTCCACGTCCTAGCTGTGTGGCCAGGGAAAAGTATGTAGTCCCCCTGTGCCTCGGTTTTCTTATCTGTAACACGGGGAGGATGGTAACCAAGTATCACTGTGGGTGTTGGATTCAATGACGTGTTGGACGTCAAGTGCTGTGAACCGTCCCTGGCTCGCGGTGCGTGCTGTTTCTGTGTATCAGCTCTTCTCTGGTGCCCCTCACACTGCACCTGGGCCCTCAGGAACTTCATGCTCCCCTCGATCAGCTCAGGGGACACCCCCACACCTTAGCTTGCACCCACACAGCACCACCCTGGCCAACATTGACCCATTCTATGGACCGAATTGTGTCTACCCCCAAATTCATGTGCTGACGCAGCTCTAACCCCCAGTGTGCCGGTTTTGGGGATGGGGCCTTTGGGAGGTCAGGTTTAGACGAGGTTGGGGGGGTGGGCCCTCCTGATGGGATTAGTGTCCTTACAAGAAGAGACACCAGAGACACCTCTCTCTCTCTCACGCCTCTTTGCCGTGTGAGGACACACCTGCTCCAAGAAGGCAGTTGTCTGCAAGAAAGAAGGCTCTCCCCAGAACCTGACCACACTGGGACCCTGATCTCAGACTTCCGGCCTCCAGGGCTGTGAGAAATGAATTTCTGTTGCTAAAACCGCATGAGCTAAGACAGCCCACGTTAGCCTGGTGCTCCAGGCTACTGCAGAGTTTCCCTGCTGCTAGAAATTCTCCCATTTCTGAGCCCAGAGATTTTGCGTAAGGTCCACGAATAGAAAAGGTCTAGTAAGAAATCCCTGCTCTGCCATATGTCACCTGAATCCTTGACATCTGCTTACTCTCTGAGATCGCCTGTTTCCTTAACAGAGGACGACGTCTGCCTTGCAGGCTCGTGCAAGCCAGCCCAGTGCCATGTGTGAGCAGCCAGCTGGCTGCCCGGAGCTCAGGAGGTGGACGCATTCTACTGACCTTAACGCCAAGGGGAGGATGAACACCTTCACACAGGTGTGCATTTCCAACAGACTCCTCACTGCCCTCTTCAGGGAGTGTAGCCTTGGGCTCCCCAAGGACACTTTTCAGTACAAGAGCCTTCCTGGATAAGCAGCCCTCCCGCCTTCAGAGCCCCTCTGGGTTTCCGGGCCGGCACGTCTTCGGGGGGTGAGGGGAGGGTGCCCCTTGGCAGCTTGTTGCTCTGCTGACCTCTTCTCCCTCTTGAAATGCCATCCACACGACCACCAGGCTCAGTCTCTGCCCCTCTGTGCTGGGGGTTGCACCCACTCTTACTGTTCACTGAGAAGTTTCCAGAGTGAGAAGCACATAGTCCGTGGCATCTGCTGGTGGGAAGACCTGCCCGGGGAGGGCCCCTTGGTCACAGGACCCGCCTCGAGGGAGCTGAGGGGAAAACTGCAGAGCAGCTGGGCCGCCCGTGTAGAGGCCCCTTCCCACAGCTGCTGCCCCGACTGTTCAGGGTCATGGCTCTGTCAGGGCTCAGCGCTCACAGAGACTGCATGGTTCTCTGCCTGTGTAGCATGGTGGGAGGACAGCTACACAGGCCTGTGGGCTCCTTTGGAGGACTGGCAATGCCCTCTTTGTCTCTGAGCCAAGTGATTGTGTGGAGGTGTATACCCTTTGTGGCCTTGTGCACATTACCAAACCTTTCTGAGCTTCATGCTCCTTTTCTGTAGAATGGAGATACCGATATCTTGGTCTTCTGGGATTGTTACTATGGTCAGTAAAACGGCGTGTGTAAAATTCACTTATTCCGTAGATACTTACTGAGTGCCTAACGTGGGCTAAGCCCTAGTCCAGGCACCCGGGATACAATAGTGGTCAGAATAAAGAGCTGCCTTCGTGAGGTGAGCACGGGGGAAGTGGGAGGGACAGAGACAGGGCACGGCAGGTGGGGATTAGTGCTTCGAGGAAGAATCCAGGGGAGTCTGGAGATGGGGTGCCAGGGTGAAGGGCTCCTGTGTTACACAGGTGGTTTGGGAAGGTCTTCCTAAAGAGGGGAGTAGACTCCTGGGGGAGGTGAGAGGTGAGCATGAGGATATCACAGAAGAGCAGTGCAAAGGCCCTGAGGTGGGATCATGACTGGAAGGCTTGAGGAAGAGACAGGGGGTCATGGTGGTTAGAGTGGAGGAGGGGAGGGGAGGGAGGGGGGAGATCAGGTCAGAGCAGCAGGGCCTCGGGGGCCAATGAGGATGATGGCTGCCACTCTGAAGGAGGTGGGGAGCCAAAGGAGGATTTTGTGCAGAAGAGCAACATGACTTAGAGTTTCCTTCTGATGCTGCACTGGGAATAGACTGTGCGCAGCAATGGTGAAGCAGAAGGCCAGCGAGGATGTCACGCAGTAGCCCAGGGAAGGAGCCCTGGTGGCTTGGGCCGGGGGTGGCAGTGGAAGTGGGGGAAATGAGTCACAGCCTCGCTATATCCTGAAGGTAGAGCCAGCAGGACTGGCAGGTGGATTAAATGTGGAAGACAAAATTAGAAGAAGAGTCAAGAACGAAGCCCGAGTTTTGGCCTAGGCAAGTAGGAGAGCACCCAGGGGTGCTCTGGGCCATGAAGACTCACGGAGAGGCGAGGACCCTGCAGCGCGGTTAACCGGCTCATGCTGCTCTTTGACGTCAACACACGGTGGAGCAGAGTACAGACAAACTGTCTCCGGGGCGTGACAAGGCTCCTGGCCAGCACTCCCTCACTGGAGAACTCACCGTAACCTGAGTATTAATATCTGCGTGAGGAAACTGCGTATCGCCACGGAAGGCGGCCGAATGGAGCCAGAAAGGGGAGAATCACCAGGAGGGCCGGCCATGTCTGAGAACCTGAGAACACTGAGCACGAACAAGGTCCACGGAGACTCAATCTCACCTGTGACGGTGACGTTCAGGGCCCCGCTGCGGGCCAGGCCGTGGCCATTGTCCGCCACGCAGTAGTAGCCACCCGCATGGCTCTCCCCGACGGCAGGGATCTCCAGCTCTGCTCTCCGGGAACGCTGGCGCTTGCTCCCCACACTCTCCCCCGTGTCCTCTCTGTGCCAGAAGAACGTGGTGTCCCCTGTGCCTTCAGCCACGGAGCAGACGAGGACCAGACGCTCCCCTGCAAGCACCTGTCCCCCCTGGGGCTGGGTCTCCAGGAGCACTGCCGACACCGGGACGCCTGCGTGAACGAGACAGGGCAGGTGAGGGCAGGTGAGGCCAAGTGAGGGCAGGTGAGGGCAGGTGAGGCCAGGTGAGGGCAGGTGAGGCCAGGTGAGGCCAGGTGAGGGCAGGTGAGGGTAGGTGAGGCCAGGTGAGGGCAGGTGAGGCCAGGTGAGGCCAGGTGAGGGCAGGTGAGGGTAGGTGAGGCCAGGTGAGGGCAGATGAGGCCAGGTGAGGCCAGGTGAGGGCAGGTGAGGGTAGGTGAGGCCAGGTGAGGGCAGATGAGGCCAGGTGAGGCCAGGTGAGGGCAGGTGAGGCCAGGTGAGGCCAGGTGAGGGCAGGTGAGGCCAGGTGAGGGCAGGTGAGGCCAGGTGAGGGCAGGTGAGGGCAGGTGAGGCCAAGTGAGGGCAGGTGAGGCCAGGTGAGGCCAGGTGAAGCCAGGTGAGGCCAGGTGAGGGCAGGTGAGGCCAAGTGAGGGCAGGTGAGGGCAGGTGTGGCCAGGTGAGGCCAGGTGAAGCCAGGTGAGGCCAGGTGAGGGCAGGTGAGGCCAAGTGAGGGCAGGTGAGGGCAGGTGAGGGCAGGTGAGGCCAGGTGAGGGCAGGTGAGGCCAGGTGAGGCCAAGTGAGGGCAGGTGAGGCCAGGTGAGGGCAGGTGAGGGCAGGTGAGGCCAGGTGAGGGCAGGCAAGGGCCCGTGGGACACCTGCGTGAACACGAGAGGGCAGGTGAGGGTCCGTGTGGGGAGGGCAGGGCTGGCACGTTGGATGGGGACACTCTTTATGTGACTTGAAGATATACTCCAGCAGCGGCTGGCTTTGTAGCCTGTAGACTGTGGAGTTTGGACCTAGAACGTCGCCAAATGTAACAGTTCCATCCTGACACACGGAGCCCCAGGAGAGAAAAACTGGTTATCCCTGAAGACGCCTGTGAGTTTTGTCTGATGTCCTAGCTGGCAGTCTGGATTGTCTGCAGGGACAGGTGGCAGAGACAGTGGCCCCCCACCGGGCTGGACCACACCCATTTCCAGGAGTCCTGCTTTTGTACCTGAGACAAGACAATACTTAGCATGTTTATCTTTACCTGTGTGTCCTCTTGTGCATCACATGTGGTGGGCACTCCCATTATTTGCTGCTATTGATTAGGAAGAGGCTGAGGCTGATCTCCTCAATAGTTTGCCCCAAGATCTGGCCTTCTAGAATGTGTCAGCTCAGGACACCTTGCTTTTTGTTTGTTTTCCCTAACTTTTGTATCTAACTTCATGAACCACTCTATCATTTCATGCTAGAGTTCCAAAGGAAGTCTGAGTTTTTAGAAAGATCGTGGTAGAAATGAGCCCTGTATTTCTTTTATTATAGTACCTGACTTCTCAGTGCCAGCCTGCATCCGTCAGGATGACTAAATCCATCAGTGCTGGGCAGTCTGTCCCTGCACAGGCCACGGGGAGCCGTCGGGGAGGGTGCCACAGCCCCGCCCTCCACCGGCTCTCCGACACTCACCCTGCACGTGGACCTGCATCGGGAGGCTGTGTTTGCGGATGCTGGGGACCCCAGCTGCGGCTGCACACCAATAGGACCCCGAGTCCTCTCTCCAGATGGCTGTGATCTGGAGTTCCGGGGACCTGCTCCAGTTGGATAGCATGACCCCGCGGTCCCTGAAGAAGATGAAGGACAGCAGAGCATCCGGCCGCTCGAGGGGCAGCCGTGTCTGACAGCTCAGGTTTGCTGAGCCGCCCTCCATAGGCTGGGGGGGTGTGACTTCCAGCTTTGGACGTGGAAATAGTTCTGGAGAGAAGAGGTAAACCGAGTTCTCACAATGTGGTACTTAGAGCCCCGGGATGGGCAGCCTTGGCTTCTTGGCCCCAGGGAACTTCAGACAGACACACAGCAAGACAGATACTCATCGACCCCGCTATCCCATCATCCTTTCCCAGCTCCCAGTGCAATGACCCCGCTCACTGTGTTTGCTGGAGGACCTACACCTCTCATTATCCAGAGTTGGGGCATCAATGTATGGATCCCCCATCACACCCAGCTCCCCACCCTGACGTTACTCAGCAATCTATATGAAATGAAGAGCTTACCTTGAATTTTAATAATTCTCTTATTTGACCTATAGGTGTGCTGATTTCTCTCCAGAAATCCAATGCATTGGTAATGGCCGCTGTTGTTCAAACTTGCTTGTGGTATCAAAAGATCCTGGCCTTTATCAGAGGTAGAGATAACTTGCCCATTCCAGCAGTATTTCACAGTGCCCAGTTTCTCTCTCCCCTTCACCTGGCATCTCAGAAGGAGCGTGTCACCTTCAAACACGGAGTGTGGAGCCTGAAGGATGAGCGATCCTGGAAAGCACACAGAGACGAGAGCCTGTCACTCAGGAACACCCTTTTCCTCCGTGCAGCTCGGCCTACGAGGCTCGACGGGTTCTCTTTTCTCTTCCACAGGATTTAGGTTCCTGCCCCAGGCTCACTCATTTCCTTCCAAATCCTCATGACCTGTTTCATAAATAAGTCCCAAACACACCAACCCAGCACCTGTTTCACACTCAAGGACAGATTCCTAGTAGAGGATTCTAACGTGGGGATGGAGAGCTGAGTGGGAGGTGAGCGACACTCAGACATTGTCGAACACGGTTAAAAATCACACCAGCCTGCTCCCCGGTCCCAGAGCTGGAGTCACCGTGGAGGGAACAGACTAGAAAGTGTCACCGTGCGCTGGGGCTCATTCTGCAGCAGGCTTGTGGTCAGACACAGACCCAGGGGCGAGGGATGGGGAATGGGTCCCGTGCAGACATGCTCCTGCTCTTCAGATCCTTGTGAGAGGTCAGTTCTCTCCTCTCTGTCTAAGGCAACTGAGGGACAGCCTCTCCCCCAGCACAGGGCCGTGCAGTGGTCCAAATCATTCTCTGCGAAAATCGGGACAGGAAGAGTGGTGCCCCCGAGGCGGGAAAGCAGGAGTAGGGAAGGGTCAGGTGTCAGGACAGGTGGGGACACAGGCCTGAGGCGGAGACTCTTTCCTCCAAACTCTTGTCCGAGGCCACTTTTCGCACCTGCTTGGTGCTCAGTGCATTCTTGTCTGTGTCGTTTCTCCTGCGGGCGGCGGCTGTGCGTGCCCAGAGGGCCGGGGCTAAGGTGGCTTCTGTTTTGAATCCCCTAAAAATGAACTCCTCCTCCACTGTGTAAACGTGCAGGGAGGTCTACTGATTACCATTAGATGATGAAACTCTAATGTCAACAGTAGTGTGAAAAACACCTGTAGACACGAGGAACACTAAGGACATGAGGCCGGAGGAGGTCGGGGCTTCGAGCAGCAGGAAGGAGCCCGGGTCTCGCCAGCTCCCGGGGACTAGGATGCACTGGAACCACTTCTAACGTTTGCACTAACTCACCCTCTTGCTCACCTGAAGAAAAGATCAAGCTCACGTCGTCACTTAGCGGTGAGTCCTGGGTCTGGCATTTGTACCTTCCAGAGACACGGGCCTCGAGGGTGTTTCCTGGGGTCTCACATAGCATTTCTGTGCCGAGGTACCACCGGTACCATTTTATGTTCCCTGCTGCGTGGACGCGAGGTGCAATGCAAGTCAGAGTCACTGCCTCTCCTTTGAAGAAGGTGATCCATGGAGGATGGAGGGAAATCACGGGTTTGGGTGCAGCTGCTGAGGAAGGAAGAGACAGAGTCTGCGATGGAGACCCCTGTGGTCCGCAGCGCAGTCTTCTGTGTGGGATGGACCCGAGGACCTGGAACACCCCCGGGAGGACTGCGGGTTCTCCAGCTGTGTCCGCCTTTCCCGGGAGTGTAGTGGCCACTCGGTGGTCTGTAGGAGCAGGCTGGCCTTGAGGGGAGAACCCCAGCAGGCCCTAGGTACTGTGGGAGGGGGAGATGCTGGCCGGCCCTGGGGGAAATCCCTCGGGACTCCCTGCTGCCCGCCCGTGCTTGGTCACTGAAGGTATTCAGAACACGCCACTGTGGCCTAAAAAGTATCTTGAGCTGACGGTATTGCAGAATAGGTTTCCTATTTTATTCCGAACACCCATACCTGCCTAACAGCAGGGCCTCCCCAAAGAATACTGTTATAAATCGCCTCCCCAGGAGCTGCCATGAAGCCCTGACCCTGATCACCAGGGACTCAACAGATATTGTCACAAACTTCAGCTGCCATCTATCTGTTCTTCAAAGGGCTGGCTTGTCTTTCCTGAACGTCATTTGTTTTCCCGCAGGTGCCCTCATCCCGGCCCTTTCCCTGCTCAGACGGCGTCCCAGCCCCAAGTCCTAACCGTCTCCCTGGCTCGCAGTTTCTGCACGCCCCTCTGAAAAGGGAATACGCATCTTTCCCCTGCTCACCTATCTTTTGTCTGTCTAATTGGCCGGCCCCAGTGATAAACTTAAGAGGAAAGAGACATTGTTCTTCCCTGGGATGTTACTCGCTATTGGATACACGCTCTCGCACACCTCCCCCTATCTTACTGCTGTCCAGCCCGCCGAAAGATCCGTGGGTTGATGGGCTGACCGCACGCGGCTGCACCAGGGAACGGGATTGGAAAGTGCCCTCTCGGATTCTGGCGGAGAGGCAGGAATTCAGGACGCTGGGAATAGTTAGCGGCCACAGGATGGAGTTCTGGGTGAGGGGCTGTCAGGGGAACAGAGCCGGGGGGGGGTTGGGGATGGGGTTGCTGCAGGAGGTTTCACCCCCGCAGTAAAGGAGCAAAGCAAGGTCAAGTTCGGGGCGGGGTGGGGGGGAGCTCTCTTATAGTTTTAGGTACCTCCCTCCTCCCCCAGCTTTCCGCCCTGAGCCATCAGGATGCCTGAAGTTGTGACAGCTACCACATTTAAAAAATCAATATTCGATTCAATTTGTTCTGCAAATTGCCTATGGTAATCTAAATGCTGTGAAGCAGAAATAAGCCAGATTATTTCCATTTGCATTATTTTTATTTTTCAAAACTAAAATCTCAATTATGGGGGTATGTAATTTACCATAAAATTTTAAGTGGAATCCCTTGAGGTGTGTTTTTTCTTTAGTACCTTGACACTCAGATAAGGAGGACTATCTACCTTTAAGGACCTACAAATGGTTGCTTTTCTAAAGCTTGAGACTTGAAGTATTCTTACCTTTGTCTGCAAGAATGCCCAAATAGATCTTTTAGTTACACCCAAATGTAAAGGAAATACCCTCCCCGTGTTTGGGGGCAGAGAGTAACCTGAACGCTCGTTTTAGATGAAGCAGCTCAATGTTCTGTTTGGTAATGCAAACGTTCATGTGTCTCTGCAGACTTTTTCTTTCTCTCTTTAGAGGATTGCATAGAATGTCCCATGTTTCCAGTGAGTCGTGTTTCTCCTGGAGAGAACAGAAATCCCCACTGTCTGTATTCCTGGGAGGCCTCTGGGATGGGAAGTGGGGACAGGGCAGCAGTTCTCCTGCCCCAAGGAGGGGAAGCTTCGGCCAGGGGGGTGCAGCCAGATTCCCCACCGGTCCTGTACCTGCCGCTGCCATGTACTGCAAGAAGACACATCTGGTCGGGGCCTTGTGAGGCTGGGACTGAGTCAGTGAGCTCTAGCTTAACCACGTCTGGCAGCTCATCTGAGACACTCTCTGTATTCTATTTCTCCCTCCCGGAGTGTTTAACAAAGTTCTGTCAAGTTACAGTCTCTTCCCAGTTGGGCAGCGATTTGTGGGAGATGGTCTGTGTCCAGGCATCGAGCGGAAGGACTGCGGAGCCAGGAGCCGCAGGGGAGAGGGTGCATGCCAGCTGGCTGGGGCTGGGCGACAGCGAGCAGCCCCCAGGATGAACTCGGTGCTCTTGAAGGGATTTTTTTTTTTTTAAAAGATTTTATTTATTTATTTGAGAGAGAGAATGAGAGAGAGCACGAGAGGGAAGAGGGTCAGAGGGAGAAGCAGACTCCCCGCTGAGCAGGGAGTCCGATGCGGGACTCGATCCCGGGACTCCAGGATCATGACCTGAGCCGAAGGCAGTCGCTTAACCAACTGAGCCACCCAGGCGCCCCTGAGTGCTTTTCTTTCTTTCTTTTTTTTTAAGATTTTATTTATTTGTGAGAGAGAGAAGGAGAGACAGAGAGCATGAGAGGGAGGAGGGTCAGAGGGAGAAGCAGACTCCCTGCCGAGCAGGGAGCCCGATGCGGGACTCGATCCCGGGACTCCAGGATCATGACCTGAGCCGAAGGCAGTCGCTTAACCAACTGAGCCACCCAGGCGCCCTCTTGAAGGGATTTTCAGGGATTACTACTACACCTGGAGACAGCTCCCCCGGAGAGGGGGCCTTCCTGCTGACCAGAGGAGGGGCGCTCAGAGGCACTGTGATCTGAGCTGTTCACAGCGTGCTGGAGTTTGGGATGCAGTGGTTGTGGCCGTGCTGGGCTGGGCCACGGAGGGTGGAGGAGCAGAGCTGTTTGCGCCTCGGCCGCCCTCCGACGCCACTGCGGTCTCAGCCTATTCCTAGTGTTCCTCTGGGGGCTGCGCACTCTGTCAGGCTGGCCAGCACCCCACATCAGGTGGGGACACACCCCTCCTTGACCTCCATGTCCTGCGTCCCAGGCCCCTTAGGTTCACCTGACACAATGGCGGATTTGGGCCAAGAGTGTGACTCCCAGCTCCTAGGGTCAGGGTCATAGGACGGGGTGATGCTGCCCTGCCCGAAGTCCTCAGGATGAGGACGCAAGTACCAGGCCCCCCCTTACCAGCATTTCGTGCAGAGATGGTCACTAGAATATCTAGAAACATAAAAGAAGAAAGGAAAAGGGGACCTACTTACCAAGCTGTCCATCAACTGCGGCTGTAAGAGAGGTGAGGGCCAAGGTCAGCAAGAGGCATGGAGCCGAGCCCTCCCACCCAGAGAGCCCACTGCCCGCCCCAGCCCATCCGAGGGCGGGAGAGGAGCGCCCAGCTCCACCACCCGGAGAAGCCAGGGCCACCGAGGCCTGAAGCTGAGCCGTGCGGCACTGGGCAAGCTACGGCAAACTCCCAAGCCTGCCTCTCCTCATCGGTCACATGGGGACCATAAAAGTGGCCTCGTAGTCCTATTTCAGTGAGTCTAATTAGTAAGTCTTCCATGAATGGCCACTGTCACTCTTCCTCAGACACGACCGTGCTGTGGCTGCTGTCCTACGGGGCTTCACCGTCTCCTCGCCCGGGACGTTAGTCTCCTTCAGTACCGAGCAAAGTCAAGTCACACCCAAGCCCGACACCCCGAGCAAAGCCACTTCCTCCATGAAGCCTTCTTGGATGCCTGTGGGCTGCCGTGCCCTCACGCTGCTCTAGGCTCAGAACACCGCAGTCACAGCTCCCTGGGGCTGGAAATTGGACATGCAGCGCGGGACGGCGGCTAGCAGCGTGGTCCCAATGCCATGGGTGGGTTTCCCTCCCGGCTCTGCCACTGCACGGAGCTTAAGGCAAGAGACTGTCTCTGTGCCTCGGCTCCCTTATCTGTAAAATGGGATTTATAGCAGTTCCAGCTCACTGATTGTTAGAAGATTGGATAGATCAATACATGGGATACTCTTCGAGGAGTGTCTGGCATAGTCAGGGCTCAGCAATTAATTATTAATTACTATCAGCAAGAGTGAATAATTATCACACATTATCTTATAACCCCCTGTGTAATATTTTTGTCTATGTTTTCAAGTCAAATGCTCTTGCACTTGTACCTTGATTTCCTCATTAGAGGGTCAGCTCTTGGGGGCAGAGACTGTCCTCCACGTCCCTGTGTCCTCTCACTGCCCAGCACTGCACTGTGCCCAGTGTACCCCTTCATTCACTTTTTACCGAGTTCCCATGATGTGCCAGCCACACTAATAACTGGTCCTTTAGTTAGGGTCTGGACATGCAGCTGGGAATAAGACAAACACGCTTCATAAATATTTACTATACGACTGACTGACTGGTCTTTGTTTCCCTAGTTTGAGCTACTAGGAAATCAGTGCCTCACTTGGACAAATATTGAAAATAGTACAGACGCAGGGAGAAATAATCGAAGGGAAACCATCTTATTTCTGCTCCTTTCATGCTTTTTGCAATTATCAGAGCAGGCATGATCGTAGGACACCGAGAAGGAAATAACTATTCCCAGCAGAAGCTCATTTCTACATCAGCTCACAATTAGGACATTCACACAGACTCAGTTCATCTTTCAGCCTGGGTCTCCATGATCTGTGATTGGGGAGGTAACTGAATCTAACTGCAGATTTTTTTTTAAGTTTTTTTTTTTTTTTTTTTTAAGTTTTTTTGTAAGTAATCTCTACACCCAACGTGGGGGTCACACTCACAACCCTGAGATCAAGAGTCAAGCGTTCCATCGACTGAGCCAGCCAAGCAGCCCCTAACTGTAGATTTTTTTTATATGGAAAAATAAGCCCACTTCTTGAGTAGGAGGAATTTTTTGTAGGCAATTAAAAGCAAGCGATGGATGCACTTTTGGAAATCAATCCCCCCCAATCCCCTCAGTATCTTCCCCTTGGTTCATTCTCTGTGGCTCTGAAACAGGAGCATAAATAATCCACTTGTCCCAAAGTCCACAGGGGAAGCCTTTGGCTCGTGGAGAGGCCCTGGCTCCTCCTCGAGCGGAGGCTTCCCCACCAGCACTTACCGAGGAACAGCAGAGACGCCCACGGGAGCATGGGAGCGTGCCCTGGAACCCCGAGGAATAGCTCGAACAAGGCGCAGGCCCAGCGGCCGGCAGTGAGTGCAGCGAGGTGCTTCTGAGAACAGCTCATGCAGTCATCAAGTGAAAAGGAGAAGTAGAGGAATCTTTCTTAAAATACCAGCAGCATGTTACCTGGTGTCAGAGACTCCCGAGAACGAAAGTCACTATTTAACAGAATGCCTGAAGTAGCACTCTGACTTCTTGGTGTGAAAAGCTCCTCAAAGCTTTAGTTACCGTATTTTCGGAAACTTCAGCCACTGTCTTCCAAGGACAATGCAACACATTCCCTCTGCTACCAGATACCAGGCAAGACTGCAATCCTGCTGAGATTCACATAATCCGAAGAGGTACCTGAATCGCTCCAGAGCTGGAGAAGTTCTCTTTCTTTTTTTTTTTTTTTTTTTTAAGATTTTATTTATTTACTTGAGAGGGCGTGCACAAGCAGTGGGGGGAGGGGCAGAGAGGAGGGAGAAGCGAACTCCCTGCTGAGCAGGGAGCCCAATGCAGGGACTTGATCCCAGGACCCTGAGACTGTGACCTGAGCTGAAGGCAGACGCCCAACCGCCTGAGCCACCCAGGCGCCCCAAAAGGTCCTCTTTCAATGCAGAAAGACACTCCTCCGAACCCCAAGGCCTCTGCTGGACCACTCCCAGCTGACCATTCATATATGATGAAGCATCTAAATCATAAGACAACTCATACCCTGTCTGTCACATATGAAAATATCTTGAGTCATTTGTCTCAGAGGAAGTCACACACTTTGGTCTGATTAGGACATAGACCACAGAATAAATTATAGCCCTGTCTTGCTCTTCCTAGAGAATGGACTGTAATATTTTTAACTTAGTGTTCTAGAATCTAAAATCTGTTACAGGAATATCTTGACAAATCCATCCGGATTCTGTAACGGTATGTTATGTATGGGGCCGGGTGCTGGGAGTACAGTGGTAAGCGAGACTCAGTAGGCTTTACTTACTTCTAGTGGGGCAGGCAGAAGAGCCAGCAGGGAGTTAAATACAGAGTGGAAAGTGCTCTGATGGTCCAGTAGGAGGGAAATCTAACCCAATTCTGGAGACCCAGGAGAGGTTTCTCAGTGGAAGAAACACCCAAGTTGAGAAGGCATCATTCTGGGACTGAGTGATGAGCATGGACAAGGGTAGAAGGTGGTCACCATCACCATCATCCTCACCCTCAAGATACCCATGAGTAAATGACCCTGATCTTTCTGTGAGCAGAGGACATCAGACAGAGGATGAATAATGAACGTTTGCTATTGTTCTAATGTAACGACGTGTGTCCATGTGTCTATAACAGCTTCTTTCTCCGACGAGCTTGTGTTGAACATCAGTTATATTCCACGCAATGTCCAGGACCTTAGAAGTATAATAAGATGAATAAGATGCATTTCTTTCAAAACCTTATAAAATGTGGTATGAGCCATATGAGCCATAGACATCAGGCCCTCTGGGGACACAAAGGGGGTCAAGTGGCATTCGGCCCTTCGTCACCTAGCCCTCTGGCCTCTGCACCCTGTCTCCGCTGCCTTTATTTGTCTCAGGAGAGCTGAGATGAGATCCTGCCTCTGCCTCTTATTAGTTACGTGACCTTGGTCAAGTACCTAGTTAGCGTCCTCAGGCCCCACTCTCAGCACTACTACTACAAAGGAGGTAAAAATAATATCCACTTTAGGGGGATGTTGGCATCGATGTATGTATGAGAGCAATGATGCTGTAGAGTTCGTGGCCCAGAGCCCAGTGCACCGTGAACACTCAATGTCACTATGACTATTCTACAGCCATGAACTGGGACACGCTTCATGACTGATATAGTTTCCAAC